TCCAGATATTTTCCACAGCATCCTTCCTGCAACACCATCTATTCATGCCCATCCCCTAGAGCAGGGGTCGGCAAACATTTTTTCTAAAGGGCCAAATAGTAAATATTTTAGGCTCTGCGGGCCAAGAGGCAAACTCGAGGATATTTATATAGGTAAGCCTACTTATGTAACAAGAAAAAACCAAGTTTTAACAAATTTATTGAACAAAATGTAACGTAATAATAAGTAGACTACAATTGTTTGAAATACAGCTCTACAAATGAGAAGAATGCAATTGCCTGTTATGAGATAACATTTCACCAAAGTGATGTTTAAATTCAGTACTCCCTATCATCAAAATTGATTGTAAATGTTCATGCTGACCTGTACTGAGATTTTACATATTTCATTTTTGAAAATGTCTTTTCACACAGGTAGGTGCTGCCAAATACAGATATAAATCCCCGAGCATATGATCTTAATTGACCGTATTCATCGCTTGGAAGACATTTATAGTATTCTTTCTCTCAACTACTAAACTCGGCCGTTTCGTTATGGCGCGTACTTTGAAATTTGAAAGAATTTAAATATGTAAAATCCGTTCTTAGCTCGCGGGCCGTACAAAGAGAGGTGGCGGGCCGGATTTGGCCAGAGGGCCGTAGTTTGCCGACCCCTGCCATAGAGCAATAGGCCAAGTTTCATACTCATACTAGGTGCTACCCAAAAGTTTGGGGAATTTGAATTCCACACGTGAACCGGTTGTGGAATGGCCTGCCGCCACTAGATGGGGCGAGCAGTACCCTTTGTGAATTAGTGTGCCAACAGCCGTGAAGGCGAGAGGCCGCGTTCTTGAGTCTCGTGCGTTTTTGTAACGTTGTGTTGTAGTGGTTCGGTGATTTTTTAAACCTACATAAATGACAGATTTTAAGGAGCAAAGAATCTGCATCAAATTTTGCTTTAAGCTTTAAAAACTGTTGTAGAAACCCACCGCGTGCTTGTGGAAGCATTTGGTGAGAATGATGTGAGTTAAAGTAAAACTTTTTTGTGGTACAAACGCTTTAAGGATGGCTTCCAAAAACACGACAGTGATTCCCCACCCACCCTATTCGCCTGACCTCGCCCCCTGCGACTTTTTCCTGTCCCCCAAAATGAAATTTCGATTGAAAGGCCGTCGTTTTGACACAATTGAGGAGATCCAGGCAGAATCGCAGGAGGTGCTTAAAACACTCACACTTGAAGACTTCCAGGGATACATGGAATCATGGGAAAAGCGCTGGGATCGCTGTATCCATGCCCAAGGGGACTAATTCGAAGGAGACGGTGGAAACTAGGAGTTATGATAAGCAATTTTTTTATGGCCAAATTCCCTGAACTTTTGGGTAGCACCTCGTATAAATAACGGGTGAAATTATGACTTCGTGTGACTTTATCTTAATCTATACGTGTTGGATATAAAATGGGAAGATAAAATATTCCGGACTCAGTGGTAATAAGTACAGATACTCAAATTTAATTCTCTCTCAACTTTGTCATTGTCATTTTGATTCACTACTGTCATTCCCGAACATTTTAAGTTTGTCACATTTGCGAACGATATATTAGCTATCTTTATATGAGACTTGAGGTGAGGATGTCAGTTGTGGTCGTCTGGTTCTGACGCAGTGTAATCTTGCTAGCGGTTACCAACGTTTCGGAGGAACATACAGCCTTCATCTTCATGTTCGTGCAGATGGAGGAGATACATTTATCCGAAACGCTGGCGTCACAACCAGACGATCACAAATGACACGGCAATCTACGTTACGATTTTCCTGCATTATGGTGATGAGAAATGAACATACTTTGATTATATTGGAGCGTCATGTTGCGATTGGACTAAGTAATTCCTTATGTTAGTATTGACCATTTTTACACGATAAATCAATATTATAAGCTTTAGCATTCCATTACGTGTCCATGTTTATTCTTTAACATCGACTTGTTTCGGGTAGACGGGCCATCATCAGGCATCGGTTGTCTTCGCAACGATACAGTAATACATGACCACTAAAAATTACTAAAACCTTGTAAAAGTATACACAGCATAGGCATTGCAAACAACATTGCACCAGCCTGCACGACAATGTACATCTCCAACCTCGATTCAGTTCATGATCGTGACAATGATGTTTTGTATCGGTCTTCAGAAAACAAAGACGCCATCGCACGATCATGTGTGTTGCAACAAGATGTACACGAAGAACCCCAGGACAAGCTCAAGATCTAACACCAAAATATAACATCCCATCAACAAAATCAAGAACTCTGCTTTCCAACACACGAATTATGCTTAGTGCATCGTAATTTAAGACACCACCTCATATCACAAGAACTTTGATTCAACAACGGGACATAATCACAGCAGAATATACGAGTGAATGAATTCCAATTCTTCATAATACTATATAATTTATTTTAACATATATTAATGTTATACGTAACCTTTAACTATAATTTAAATATAATGTTAACTTAGGCATTTATCCAAAAATCCTACTTACCATAAAAATGTTGTATGATTTACAAGGGTTTATGCCCATGTAATATAATATAGTTGCGGCCGATGCCCGATGATGAACTATCTGTTCGAAACATGTCGCTAGTAAAATAATAAACACAGACACGCAATGGAAATGCCAAGGCTTTCTGATTCGTTGCGTGAAGATGGCTAATAATAATATTATTATTTAGTAAACATATTGTACATAGTTTCATATCCGTTTACTTCTAGGCCAGCCTCCTTTATCGCCAACTACAGTAGTCGTCACCAAATAGCACGCTTCAAGGTCATGGAAGGATTCAAACACCCCCACCCCCCTCATCTGAGCGGTTAGAAGTCAACGCTGAGCTGGCGAAAAAAGGTCATAAAATAAATGCAATAGAACATCGGTACGCAACCTCAAGCGAAGATGAAATGCAATAGGAATGGCATTAAGTATTTTGACTGAAAAGGGAAATGAGAGGTCAGCAGGGTTTCCCATGACACAAATTATCTATCCCTCGGTGTTTGACTTTCGACGAACGTTTTCTGGCAATTTCCTCTCGTCCTCCGACATTAAGCTTACAAACGAGATTTCTTGAATTTGCGTCCCTTCCGACAGTGTCTCGCTTCACGGGGGTGCGATAATAGCTGCTTAATAATTCCAGCTGCAGGAGAGCGGACAGTTCTTGGTAGCACAGATGACCTGCTTAGCCGTGTAATTCATCACGCTTCGTGTCACACCGTCGAAGGTCTTGTTTGTCTCTCTGTTTGTTAGGTCATTTAAACCTTCGCTAAAAGTCTGTGTACACATGTAAAGTTACCGTGTAGTTAAGAAACCGTGACCCAAATAAAGATGGTACTATTTCCAAAGGCATCGAGTAAATAACTGCCTTTCACTACAGCAAGTCAAGTAACTTCAAACGTTTTAGTGAAACTATAAGAAGCGCTTTTACTAAGAAACGTTTTCTTCAAACTTCGGAAACGTATTTCAGGATGCAGATATAACTAAATCATGGCGCAGAGTCCTTCTCGAGGAGTTATTACTGCCTCAGCTACTCGAAACATTTTTCGCTCTTTATAGAGCCCATATGTTAATTACAGTACTCACAAGAGACCGGTAGCGGTTACTATCTTGAATCACATGAATCCAGTCCACGTCCTTCCACCTTATTTCTCGAAATCCATTATTATATTCTCCTATAAGCGCCCAGACATTCCAAGTATCCTCTTCCGTTCCGGGGTTTCGATCAAAATTTTGCATGTACTTCTCACATCTCCCATTCGTGCTGCATGTCCGCCCACCTCATCTTCCTCGAGTTGATCGCCCTCACATTATTTGGCGAGAGTACAATTTATAGAGTTACATTTCTTCATTTCTTCAGTCCCCTTTCGCTTCCTCCCTGTTAGATCGAAATGTTCTCAGACAGTCATTCCCTCAAAGCGAGAAAACAAGTTTCATGCCCACATCAAACAATAGGAAACACTAAAGTAGTGTATATTTTGGTGTTTACGTTTTTGGACAGCAGACGGCAGCATCAAAGGTTATTAAATGCATGGTAGCGAGCACTCCCTGGATGTAACCTACTCTTAGTTTTTTTTCGTGAATACAATATTGATTTCTTACCGTCAGCCTGAAGACATAGAAAAAAGAAGGCATGTTATGAAACCGTAAGCAATATTACAGTGCCATTGGTATAGTGTATTTCGAGATTCGAATGGATTAGACAGTGTAGATTTTTAAACCACTCACTAACAGCGTAACATCAATATACAAATTCCTGAATTCAATTTACAACGATACTTCATTTAGGATTTGAGGTTTTCATGGCGGTGAGTCTGAAGATGGTTGTCTGAGTTTTTGCGCCGTGTAGTCTGCTAGAATTACACCAACGTTTCAGAGGTCCTTGCTGCCTCCATCTCCCTGATGATACAGGCAGAAAGGACCTCTGAAACGTTGGTAAACTTCTACCAGACTACACGGCCCAACAACCCAGAAGACAGTCATCTAAAGATTCTTCATTTCCCGGTAAGCCTACCACACACGCATCAGAAGATGCCACGTTGTTGTTTTCCATTTTCCTAAAAATATAATAAAAGTAGGCCTACCCAGTTAGTACCTTTAATTAGGCCGCGACTGCGTCCTTCTATATCCTTCCCAAGTCATTTTTCTTTAGTCATATTTTAATTCGACACTACTGACAGTGTCGTTCAGTAAACCATTGGTAAATAAGTAAAACAGCAAAGTAACAATTTCTATGTATGATTTGAGGTTTTCACAGCCGTAAGTATGAAGATTTCTGTCTATCTCTAGCCCCGCGGCTCTTGTAAACATGAGGGTTCTGTAAATGGCTGGAAATTCTATGGTCAGCTGAGCGACTATCAGATTCTTAAGAATAATTCTATTCCATGGAATTTCACAGGCAAAAATTGGTTGTTTTCTTGAAAAGAAAATCGTGTTCGCACATCCAAGTTCATCATGCAATGAAAGCCTCGTTCTTACCTTTCGGCATCCCACATGGTCCTTTGGTTCTCGAGTTGTCCAAGAAGTCGAGATCGTACTTTCTTGCAGGCGGGTACGTCAAAGCCACGTGGGCTAGGGTGAAGTCGCACGACGCCAGAAACACCAGAAGTAGCGTCCGAAAACTGGGCGCCATATCACGAACACGTCACTACGTCATGAACACTTGCGACGGATGTTACTTCACACTCAGACTGCAAGGAAACAAAAAACACTGTGAAGTTCTTCACATCAACGGTGCAGAAGGTTTCTTGAAAAAGAATTATAGGAGATCCCTGATTTTATGTAAGCCGGAATCGAATACCGCAACCCCAACATTGGCCCATCTAATGAGACAGTGGATCATATCTTGAGCCAGTACAATCTAATCAGCATTTTTATCTATTTCTGTAATGTACTATTTCAGTTTTGCCCTCCATCTACCCGCAGTCCCCCATGTATTCTCTTTCACGCAAAAAAAGAAGAAAAAAGAAATAAAGATTGCCAAAAGTTTGTACGAATCATGTTCCGCCTGCTTTGTCTAATTTGGTTTAACCACCCTACAAATGTAGCAAGTACAATCAAGTTGAAATTGTGCCCATCCTCTTTTTACGTTCTGTTTCTCTGGTCATATCTTTCTTATCAACACTTTGTTCTAACTCTGGGTTATCGGTTATTCACAGGTGGGCTTTTTTCCCCCAGTCCCTTCAAACGAGTCACGGTCGCTTCCTTCCAAACCCTTACGAACAGTATTCACCATTCATGACCATTTTGCCCTCTTAATGACACTGTGCATTATTCAAATAAGATAATGTCGTTGAAAATCCTACGAATCAATCGCTGTACAATTCACATTCATTCAACCGTATCCCTTTCGTCGCCCTAATGATGAAGGCAGCAAGGGCCTCTGAAACGTCGGTAAACTTCTACCGGACTACCCGGCGCAAAAACCCAGAAGACAGCCATCTTCAGTTCGTCAATTCGTAACAAAATCAGTCGGACCTTAAATACGGTATTGGCGCCTATATGGTTGAAATGGCAGTAAGTCGGACCTCAGTATGCATTTCACGTCCTCTGCCACACCTTTTAGACATTGTTTTCTTACGAGCCAGAGGCGTAACTTTCAAGCAAGGAGATTTCACCTGCCCCTTTGCTGTTGCGGTCTCCAACTCAGCACAAGACCGGACCCGGCCTTGTTGGTCTTGAGGAGAGAAATCAGAGTCAATGACCGCCAGACCCCACAGGCACGGAATATTATAAACTAACCAACATCCAGATCCTACAATCCTCGAGAATGATACGTGTATGCTGAGCTGTCGTGCACTTTACCTGCCTAATGCAATTATTACTGTGATAAACGAGGAGTGCAAGATGTGCAGGACATGTAGCACGCGGGGGAAGACGGCGAATGAATACATTTTCGTCTGAAGGCCTGAAGGATAGTCACTGGGAAACCTGGGTGTAAACTGGAAGATAACATAAAAGTTTATCTTAGAACAGTAGTGTAGGTTGTAAATTGTATTTCAGTAGCTTAACCCTTTACAAAATAGTGGTAAATATATGCACCACCTCCTTTAACAATGAATAATTCTGAATTTTGTATTTATTGGGTTCGTATAATTCATAATAAACAGCGCTTATTTCCTTTAATATCATAAACCAACTGTTCTTTCTAATGGTGTAAGTGTTGTGATTTCTTTGCGGTACGGACTGGATTATTAAATATTATTTAATCAAGTTTCGCCTTCGAATAGTTAATACAGAGATCAACGTCTGACTTCTCTGTAAAAGACGGCGGGTGTGTTGATCAGACGAACGACATTCGCCGTTTAAAGGAAGACCCTGCATCATAGAGTGACTTCGTTCAGTAGTTCAGGCTAACCATGGTCGCCCTAGTCACCACGGAATGACGTGTCCTCAGGCTGCAGATAGAGCAGACGGCCTCCAGTTACTACAAATACGTCCAATAAGCAGTCGCGGAGGGCCGAAAATGGGTAGTTTTTAGACTTACGGTATGAGCGTAAAGCTTACGAATGACTTGTTATGGTAACAATGTATAATGATTTTTTCGCAAACGCAACGGACCTGGAGGATTCTTTAGAACTGCTTCGATAACGTTCGAATGTCATGAAGATGGTAGTTGGATGGAACTGACTCAGAATCGTACGCAATGGCCGGCATCTACTACCGGAGTGTTGAAAGAAAAAATAAAGAAAAGATAAGACAATTTAACAGGAAAGGAAAGAACAAAAAGGTGAAGAGAAGGAATAAGACTAATAGAGATGGGAAATGGTAGATGAAGAAAGAAGGAGGGCTACAAGGAAGAAGTCAAATTCGTGTTCACACAACCTTAAAAGTTTTTCACATGTGATCAGCGACGTTCACATATTTTTCTTGTGTTGTAAATAAATAGTTACACGCCCTTCAAATGGCTTGATAATTTATGATTTCTGTATAATGACAACACACTGCTGTGTGGAGCTGAATTATGTTTCTTGTATGATGAAAGACAAAGGTGATTTGTCTTGTTTTCTCGAGCATTCTTTCGCTATACGATATGAAGTCATTGTACGTTAACTGCTGTAATACAGAGAGCGTCAGTCATGTCCTCGGTAGTATAGTGGTAAGTATCCCCGCCTGTCACGCGGGAGACCGGGGTTCGATTCCCCGCCGGGGAGGGTTGTTTTTTTTTGTTTTTTTTTTTGTATAATCATTCTTTTGTTTTTCAGAATTCGTAGAGTATTCGTGTTTTCTATTACCCTGTGTAAGTCTCGTGTAACTGAAGGGCTTCTGTCGGGGGCAAATAAGTGCCATTTTTCATGAGTACTGTGGCTGTAGGTTACACATTGTAGCGCTCACTTCTGTCACAAAAGTTCAACACAAAGAAGGCTAGGACAATAAAAATGACAAATTTAACATTTATCTACAATAAATTAACTTCAAGAACGTAAGGCAGTGGTTTAGAAACTTTTATTCCATGCAGGGCGTGTAATTATATTAAATTTCGTGGTAAGTTTACGCTTGGTAGTTTTGTCTCCCCAATTATTTCTTGTGAATTATTCAACTAAGTAACTAAGATGGTATATGACAGGGCGCATTGTCGGTAATTTATACATTAAGTTTGATATTATTCTTTTAAGAAAGCACAGGCTTTTACTTGACTCTGTTTACTTTTTCTTTATTTCACCTGAAATTATTTAATGACTATTAACTTACTGTAACTACTTCGTAAGAAGCGTTTACTTTACGTCTAAAATCACGTTAAAAACCTCTTTATCTTGCACTTGATGACAGATGAAGAAAAGTATAGGATCACCACAATAACATAGTTAGTATGAAGTAGTTCATGCACTCAAATGAGCGTGTATAACTGAACTCTCCAGTGTGTGTGCTGCATCATCTGAGAAGCCAGGTTCACCACTGTGTATCAATTGCGCACAATTTTTTGAATGAAGTGACTTCATTAAAATTAGCTCGGTGTCAAAGTGTATTCAATTCTAAATTAGTTTTTTTACGGCGTACCTTTAAGAAACAATACTATAGCGGAATGAAAATTTGCATAGAACACAACTGGAAAATATATATCCTCCCATGGCGGACTACGCCTTTCTACTGTTGTTAGGATCTTGAAGACAATGAAAACTGCTTAAAGTATACAATTTATCAGCATCAGCACACAATGACTGTAATGTTGTCTACGGGAATTATGCTGTGTGATGCGCTTGCAAAAACACGCGTATTGTACCTTCCTACAACAATTAATTTCACTGATCCATGAAACACATCATTTTGAAAATGGAAGTGGCCAAATTTTTATACTCCAATTTGAACAACACTTCCATTTTATACCACGGAACCCTTCATTGGTCTTAATATGCATCGACGCAGACACAAATCAAAGGATAAAAGAAAACATAGGTTCAAAATTTAGGTTGTGTACATAGTCAACGATATACACATACTAAATTCCTAAAGTTTCCCTCTTGCATTCCGTCACAAATATGCCATATCAAAAAATGGTTATGTACAAGTTACAAACCTTAACTAGACAAGTATCAATTTCTCCACAAGCCTTTAAGACGTTACATTTCTATTAGACCTTCATATAAAGTAGGTTACACGGAGCGATAAACCACACAACTGTAACTGTAAATCAGTCATGCCAATTAATGCAGATCTACCATACCTAGTTTTCTTGAAATCCATAAGGATATCTGAGTGCTGTTATTGCGGACTGACGGCGGGCATAAAACATCCTGAGAGGTGTTTCTGGCCCTTTCCAAACGCTAGTGATTAATGTGTAATGGTGTTTAATACCAGTCGATCATTGTTTTCAACACTACAACAAGGTAATGGAAACATTCTTGTGGGGTCCGATCTCTGTGCCACGTATGAGCAGTCGCATTAGCGCGTTTACTGTCACACGCATGACTGATATGAAAATATACAAAGTGCTTGTGCAACTATGGTCAATATTTGGTCAAAGTAAGTAGGTGTTTATGTAGTACAAGGTCCATTAATGTGCAGCAATGTCGGCACCACTGATCACTGACCACTAAAACGAACAAAGTTTATGGTAAAGTTGCCGCTGTGCGTAGTCTCCACGCCTTGGAGACGCGGGGGCAAACAGGTGGTTGCTGTCACACTCCGGCTGCTTTATGTCAGAAGAAAGATTCTGGATGGCCAATTGGATTAGAGGATGTATAAACTCAGAAGCCGGTCCAGAGGTGGCGATAAAAATGCTTGTTCCAGCCGCAAATTTAACCGCGGCTACTCACTTCACTGAACCACCCTACCTCCGCCTGTTAATGGGGTTCGACGAGTCTCCTCTCCAACGGTTGTTTTATAAAAAATATAAAGTGGTCACAACGTGAAGCTCACCAGTCACATACACGTAATACCGAGGCTAAGAATGCATGAGGCTGACCTCAGGTACCTCTGTATTTCTCCATGGCTCGGTGCTTAGTTACAGGGCCGCGTACTAATCAGTTCAATCTGCCTGCCCGTAATACAATGCAATAGCCAATGTCCGTCACGCTTGACCACAATGCGTAAGAAAATAAATACTTCGGACGGTGGCGACTTTCCTCGCAAGAAATGTAAACGAGGCTATGGTGGCGCTTATGTTCCGGCGTCACACTCCAGAACAACATCGATAATGATAGCTGTTCAACAATTGTCGAACTACAGAAATTTTATCCCAATGATCGACTCG